CTGTTAAAAACATGAAATTTTGTGACATTGATGATTGTTTCGTTTGTCCTTTAGCCAAACAAACTCGCCGTCCTTTTTCTTTGAGTTTTATTAATTCACTTGCGCCATTTGAATTAATTCATGTTGATATTTGTGGTGGTTATCATGTCCCTTCCATCACTAAGGCACAATACTTCTTAACCATTGTAGATGATTACTCCAGATGTACATGGGTTTATTTAATGCACCACAAATTAGATGCACGCCAAAAGCTCACTACCTTTATCAATCTTGTTGAAACACAATTCTCTTCCCAGGTTAAAATTGTTCGCAGTGATAATGGACCTGAGTTTCTAATGACACAAATTTTTTTTTTTTCTGATAAAGGAATTTTACATCACACTAATTGTGTCTCCACTCCACAGCAAAATGGAGTAGCCGAAAGAAAACACAGACATCTTCTCAATGTTGCCCGAACTTTACTCTTCCAAGCCAAACTTCCTAAGAAATTTTGGGGGGATGCCATACTCACTGCCACATATCTTATCAACCGCACTTCTACACAAGTTCTTGAAGGAAAAACTCCCTACGAAATCCTTTTTCGAAAACCCCCAGTCTATGACCACTTAAGGGTTTTTGGTTGTTTGTGCTTTGCCTCTACTCATCATCTACGTCTAACCAAATTTGATGCTAGGGCCACACGTTGCATTTTTCTTGGTTACCCATATGGCTTAAACGGCTATCGGGTTTATGATCTCAATACGGGTAAAAAAAAAATTTCTCGGGATGTCATCTTTCATGAAACTACTTTCCCTTTTCCATCTTCCGCTACCGACTCTTCTCTTGTCTTTCCAACTTCTCATCCCACCCATTTTGATGATGCCCCAACTCCTGGACTTAATTCTCCTGGTTCACAGTTTCCAGCGCCTGACTTTGCGCTGGAAACATTTCCAGCTCCTGCCCCTAAGCTTCCAGCACCTGACCTTGCGCTTCCAGCATCTGACTTTACCCTTCCAGCACCTGATCTTGCACTTCCAGTACCTGATCTCGTGCTTCCAGCACCTCCATCTCCTCTTGCACCTGTGTCTCCACCACTGCCCCGGCGTACCATCAGGCCCAGTTATCTTTAGCAGTATCATGTCAACATAAAATTACCTGCTCAGTCTCTCCCATCATCTAACTCGGCGTCAATTGAACCCCAAGGTACCAAACGTCCTCTCTCTCATGTCCTTACATATGATCGCTTGTCCCCACACCATCGTGTTTTTAATGCTTCTCTTTCAGTGGTCAAAGAACCCACCTCTTCTGTTCAAGCAGCTCATGACCCTCAATGGCGTCATGCCATGACCCAAGAATTGGCACCCTCGAAGCTAATGACACATGGACTCTTCAATCTTTGCCCCCGGGCAAGAAACCCATTGGTTGTAAGTGGGTTTACAAGGTCAAACTCCATCCTGATGGTTATCTTGATCGGTATAAAGCACGTTTGGTGGCAAAAGGCTATAGTCAGGTTGAGGGTTTGGACTACCGGGAAAAATTTTACCCCTGTTGCAAAGCTTGTCACCGTCCACCTCCTTCTTGCCGTTGCTTCCACGCGTCGTTGGCATCTTCATCAGCTTGATGTCAATAATGATTTCCTCAATGGTGATCTTGATGAAGATGTTTATATGCATTTTCCTCCTGGATTTGGACGAAAAGGGGAGACTCGTGTATGCAAGCTTCATAAATCCTTGTATGGACTTAAGCAAGCTTCACGTCAATGGTTTATTAAACTTTCCACAGCCCTTAAGCAAGCGGGCTATCATCAATTGAAGGCAGATTATTCATTATTCGTCTGAACCCGAGGTAACACATTCACAGCCTTACTCATCTATGTGGATGATATCATTTTGACAGGGAATAGTTTACAAGACATTGAAGCAACCAAGTCATACTTGCTGCAACAATTCAAATTGAAAGACCTTGGTCAACTGAAATATTTTCTTGGCATCGAGATTGCTCATTCTAGCAAAGGCATAGCCCTTTCACAAGGCAAGTATGCCCTTGAAATACTAGAGGATGCAGGACAGCTTGGTGCAAAACCAGCCGATTCACCCATGAAGCATAACTTGTCCCTTAGCAAACATGATGGCGACTACATTGATGATCCATTTTCGTATCGAAGGCTTGTGAGGAGGCTGATCTATTTGACAATTACCCGGCTTGACTTGGTGTATGCTGTTCACACTCTAAGCCAGTTCATGGATAAACCACGAACACCACACCTAGAGGCAGCTTATCGGGTTTTGTGCTATGTCAAACGTGCACCAGGGCAAGGTATTTTTCTTTCTGCCAATAGTCCAATTCAATTAAATGCTTTTTGTGATGCGGATTGGGCTCGATGTCGTGATACTCGACGTTCTACTATCGGGTATTGTGTATTTATTGGCAATTCTTTGGTTTCTTGGAAGACCAAGAAGCAAACCACAGTATCCCGATCTAGTGCGGAAGCTGAATATCGTTCCATAGCTGCCACTTGTTGTGAAATTGCTTGGTTACGATATATTTTGCAAGATTTAGGCATTAAGCATTCACATGCAGTCAAGTTATATTGTGACAACCAAGTAGCGCTCCACATTGCTTCGAATCCAGTATTTCATGAACGGACTAAACATATTGAAATTGATTGCCATCTGGTGAGAGAAAAGGTTCAAAGTGGAATGATCAAAACGGCTCATATTTCCACCTTACAACAACCAGCAGACATATTCACAAAGGCCGTGAGTCTTCCACAATTTGCGATTTTACTCAGCAAGTTAGGAATCATTAACATACATTCCAACTTGAAGGGTAGTGTTGAGGAGCGTAAAATCCCAATTAAATCAACGTGATTGATTCTGAATATTGATCATTGATCTGTACAGATATTTAGTTTATTTCCTTCCTTTTATGTAGACGTGTATATTAAGGAATGATTCATTTAGGCTAGTTTTCAGCACCCTAATTGGCTATTGTATTTGTATAAAGGTTCTGTACCTCATTCTATTTTTATCATCAATACATTATCAATTCTTTCAGGGCTGATATAGTTTGATTTTGTGTTGGTTTCTTCACATCTGTATTTAGATCCTTCAAAAAACACCGTTCAAGCATGTATTTTGATCCCTCATATCTTTATTTTTCACATCTGTATCAAATAGTTCAAGCTTGTATTAACAATTAATACGTATTAACGCATCAATCATGTATTAACAACAGGTAGTAGTAGTTTATTCAAAGCAGGAATATGAACCAAATTATTGAATTCCTGTGCCACACATCTTTATCAAGTTCTCAAATTATAGACATTAATTAAAATTATCATTAAGATGAGATTTAGTTGTGGTTTCTGAGTAGTTCAGATTTGGTGGTTTGTTTGTTTGTTTGTTTGAGTGCCAAGCTAGGAGGAAGAGGAGGAACGCAACCACTGTGGTAAACCCCACTCAACTTATTGTTTTTTATCAGTAATTTGCGGGACAAAAAAGAAGACGAAGTGGTTTTGAAGCCCAAATGCAATGCATAATATGGGAAATAGACCACTTACAAGCCCAAACCTAAGTAAACCTACAAACTTAACAAACCCAAGTGAAGAAACCTACAAGTAATTTTATTTCAATGAAGGGAGGAAAGGTACAAAGCTTTAGATATGGAACTTAGATTTAGATATAGGAGCCGGTAGTTTTTCAGCTTGATTACATAGAGGTGCTAAACCGACCATCCTTTTTTTTTTTTGGAGTTTGCAAATTACTAGACAAGTCGGTTGTTTAAAGTAACCGACTATCTATAGTATTTTTAGCCACTAGTTGTCCCATAATTCTAGAATTATCCAGTTACAATTACATTAGATATTTATTAGTACTTAGTACCACTTTTTCTTTACAAATCAGAGGAAGCTGGAGCAGATTTTCCCTGAAAGTTAGCCTCAACGCCATTCAACAGACCATGTTTGCAATTCCAATGGAAGAAATTCTTATACAAATCCCACTCAAGTCAAGTCGGAGCATATGGATATCATAAAGGCCTGAACTTGCTGGACACAAATTGGCATTGATATTTCCCAAGTGATGAGCTTTTCGTTTGGTCAATTTGATATTGATATGCACCTTTGCTTAGTCAAATGAAATACTTTGGCTAATTGAATTTATCATCAATTAGTTGGTGGAGTCAAGAAAAATTAACAACATTATCTTGTGACATAAAGTGAGGAAAATTAACACCATATATATTGACGAGTATGAAAAAAGAGGGATTCAAACTCTCGGTAAACAAAAGTCTACATAACAGTTCCAATGCTACGTCTTGAACCACTCGACCATAGATTATTTTTCATTTGGCCAATAATAGATTTAGACGCAGGATGAGGAATTACAAGTTTATTCTTTCATTCGATGAGAAAAAGAGGTGTAAATTCATTGTTGGGTTGGGAGAGAGAAGTAAGGTATAGCTACTCAAATTCTCTAATTGGTCCTCTTGTGCCTAAGAAAATCATACCACACTAACCATTGCTGTAAAATAAATAATTTAGAGGCAAAGAAGAATTGAAAAAAAAAAAAAATTAAATTAAAAAAAAAAAAAAAAAAAAAAAAAAAAGTCCACCTGGTCCCAGGAGGACAAAACCAAACATATTTAGAGTCTCTCCAAGAGCACGAAGCAGTAACAAACAAAAACATTTATAGTTTTTTTTAAATATATATTTATTTCTTGAAGCAGAATCTGCCGTCGGCAGACTATTCAAATTCAACCCATCACAGTTTGAAACAAGTTCATCTCTTTCTCTCTCTCTCTAATCGTAATTTGTGGATCTCTCCACTAGCATGACATACCAAAGAATAAGTTAACCACTCAAGACACACAAGAGATATTAGAGTTAAAAATCCATAATCAAACATCACATCCAACAAATTAACAGCACACCCAACATTAGAAAATGCCTTCCTTTGTCTCTTTCAAGCACCACCATTGCTCTAATCCATTAATTTAACACATTTCAGAGAAAACCAATTCTGAACCTTTGCTCTCTCTCTCTCTCTCTCTCTCTCTCTCTCTCTCTCTCCTTTTTTTGGTCAATGATCAAACTTAGTCACCCCACAAACCATATTGCTCTCTCTTCTTCATCCACTTCCTCTCTTTCTCTCATCAAACACATCATCACATCTTGTCTCAACAGCCCATCATCACAATGACCACTCAAGAACCAGAACCAAACTCAACTTCAGATCACATCCTGGACTGGCTTGAAGATTCAGTTACTTTCTTCCCAACTTTCTTGGATGATCCTTACCATTCAAATGACATCAATGGCCTTCAGTGGTGGGATGAGAGCCATGATCTGATTCATTCCAACACCACTTCTACTTCTCTCAACAACCTTACTAGCATTGCTCTCCCTACCACCACAAGGCCCCCAAATCCCACAAATTTGAATCAGCAGTCGCCGTCTGATTCGTCCAAGAAACAAAAAGTCTCCGATGACCAACATATTGATCAGAAGAATCATGTCCGTCCGATCAGTCAGGCGGGCCAGGGGGACCAATTAGTTGAAGACATAGTGGTGCCAGTTAAGAGAACAAATGGGAACAAAAAAAGCACAGCTAAGACTACAGGGAATAACTGTAATAACGGTAATAGCAAGGAGGGGAGGTGGGCAGAGCAGTTACTAAACCCTTGTGCTTTAGCCATCACATGTGGGAATCTGACACGTGTCCAACACCTTCTGTATGTTCTGCATGAACTTGCCTCTCTTACAGGCGACGCCAACCACCGCCTGGCGGCTCATGGCCTCCGAGCACTGACTCAGCATCTGTCCTCCTCTGTCCCCCATGGCTCTGCCTCAGCACCACCTGTTACTTTTGCTTCCACAGAGCCAAGATTTTTCCAGAAATCTCTGCTCAAATTCTATGAGGTTAGTCCATGGTTTGCTTTCCCAAATAACATTGCAAACTCTTCAATCCTTCAACTTATTGCTGAAGAATCTGATCGAACCCGAAACCTTCACATTGTTGATGTTGGTGTGTCTCATGGTATGCAATGGCCTACTCTGCTTGAGGCTTTGACTCGGAGGCCGGGTGGTCCTCCCCCATTGGTGAAGATCACAGTTGTTTCTGCTGCTGCCAACACTGAAAATAACCAAAACAGAGAGAACAGAGAGACCCCATTTTCAATAGGTCCTCCCGGTGACAATTTCTCCTTTAGACTTCTTGGTTTTGCCAAGTCCATGAACATCAATTTACAGATCAACCGTCTCGACAACCAACCATTACAAAATCTAAATGCTCAAGTGATTGACACCTCCAACGACGAACTGTTGATTGTCTGTGTGCAATTCAGACTCCACAACTTGAACCACAACACCCCAGATGAAAGAACTGAGTTCTTGAAAGCACTGAGAAACATGGAGCCAAAGGGGGTGATCCTAAGTGAGAACAACATGGAGTGTAGCTGCAACAATTGTGGGGACTTTGCCACGGGGTTTTCGCGGCAAGTGGAGTACTTGTGGAGGTTCTTGGACTCAACTAGCTCGGCGTTTAAAGGGCGAGAGAGCGATGAGAGGAGAGTGATGGAAGGAGAGGCAGCAAAGGCTTTGACAAACCGCGGAGAGATGAATGAAGGGAAGGATAAATGGTGTGAGAGAATGAAGGGGGTGGGGTTCGTAGGGCAGGTGTTTGGAGAGGATGCCATAGATGGAGGAAGAGCCTTGCTGAGGAAGTATGACAACAATTGGGAGATGAGAATGGATGAGAAAGATGGGTGTGCAGGGTTGTGGTGGAAAGGGCAGCCTGTTTCTTTTTGTTCATTGTGGAAGACTGATGTGAAAGTAAGTAACAGTTAAAAAAAACACACACACACACACACGCACACACAAAACATTTGTTAGTAGTGAGTGTTTCTCTCTCTTTTCTCATGTCTTGAATTTCAGAGGGTATAAGATAAGAGTTTTTATATGTAAATGCTGGCTTTGCAATTTAGTGTTCCAGCTATATCTCCTTGATTTCATTTCATTGCTCTTTTTGTGATTTGCCCAACTATATACAGTGGGCAACAATTTGTGATACTTTTTTGCCTTATTATCACTACCAAGAAGTCAGTTCCTTTAAACCACACCATACAGAGACATTGAGAACTTGAGAACCAGTAAAATCAAGAAAACAAAAAGGACACACATGTCTATCTACTCCGGGTTTGAAGCCCAGAGGCTCCACACATGTCTCAGCCCATCGCACAAGGCGATAAAAGACTCCAAGCGCTCGGCGGTTACCTGTTTCCAGGCCTGCATCTCCGCAGTTAGTGGGGGCCCGGATACTTTCCTGAGCCTAGTTCCTTTTATAGAATCGTGGCCCATTCTCCTCGCCCAGTGATGTCACAGCTGGGAGCATCCACGCTTGATTATAAACAACTCAAAAAGCCCTTGTGTATCCGATGTGGGATTCTGAACACAGGAATAATTACACGCAGATTACAAGAGACAAGGAACCAAACAAAAGACAAACACGTATGGTTTTGATGCAAACCTGCGAGCGGTGCTAAAATTCAAATGAGCTTACTCTATCTAAGCCGAAATGATTATCCTTTTTACTCAAGCTGGAAGAGAAATTACCAAAACCTTGTAGAACATCTGCACATGATTCGCATAAAGCTTCAAGTATATACACAAAACATCCATATTTACTTCATTGGGTTACAAAATTACTACATGTCAAACCAAGTATGTTTAGCCACTATGCAAATCCCCTATTAGCTTCCCCCTAATACTAGCTAACTCATGTTAAGAATCATATATCCGGACTGAAGTGCGTATTTGCTGGCGACAAACAGGGCACTTTGGTGCTACATCCCGTTCAATTGATATGCTGCAGAGTTGGCAACAAACTAGATGCCCGCAAGGAATGAATGCTGATCGCCTTCTCCTCATCAGACATATGACACACAACTGTCCATCTGGAACATCTCCTGCATCCTCTTCTTCTTCTTCCTCTTGAATTTGGGCTTCAGCATTGCTGGCATGGATTGATCGCTGTAACTCCCTTTGCTGCCTCCACACTTTCCATCTATTCCAATTCCTGAAACAATATTTGTAACTCAATTTATTGAAACTCATTCCTGATCACTGTGATCATCTGTGTTTAACCAGTTCCTTTTCCTCTCTTAAATTCGAATGGGTGAGTATGAGATCCCATACCAGAATGAGTAAATTGTGTAATAACTACGGAAGTTGTAGTATCAGACCAAAAGTAAACCAGAATTTGTAATATGTCATACATTTCTGTATCTGAATTACATATCTTTGAAGAAATTATTTCTGGATCACTTTAGGCCAGGTAAAACAAAAGGGAGAATAGTGGAGAGAAGAAAGGATGCTTTTATTTTCATAGGTTTGGAAAGAAGGAGAAAATCAGTAGTTTTTCATTTTCTATGAGCCGACTTTCTCTCAGCTCTCACCTATTTTGTAGAGTAGTTGAGAAGGAAATCTAGAGTTATTCAATCTCCTCTTCTTCTTTTTTTCTCTTTAGATATAAGGACAACAGAATGGAAATTTATTACGTAAAAAATTTATCATCCACCACTCCTTGACAAGGACAAGTTAGGTTAAGGAAAATCAAACGCGGGACAGCTCTATTCATGCAAGACATGAAAGAGAAAGGTTAAAAGAAACTGAAATCGGGAATTCAACATGGTTGAATGAATCTCATGGAAGGAACAATAGGAAACTACACACACATTACAGAACTTCAGCATTATACAAAGTTGTCCCACACACCAGCCTACAGACATTTAATAGCTTTCGAGATTGAACAGGAAGTCGCAAGCAGAGTGGAGGAAAAAAATTTAACATTTCAAGGGAAATTTGTACCTGGAAACAGCATAGGCAAGGACTCCAATTGACACTGAACCAAGAAAAATCCCACTCCAGAATAGTACTTTTGTGCGTGATGTAAGATCTACCACCATCTGATCCTTAGGCATCTCAGAGCTGCAAAAGATAAATATCAGTTTAGGGCGTCAAGCAACAAATAAACTGACCTTCCTACAGCCACATATTATCAATCAGGGAGGGTGAAGGAATAAAGGAAAGAACTGGAATCTTCAAAAATTAAAATTAAAAAAGGTAAAGCTGTATATAATATTTCTATCCTCTGGATGACCAGACTGAATCTTAAATCGGGATGCTAGTTTTTAACCACTGAATAATCCAATAGATGAGAGCACTGCTGCACCAATACATTATAATAGAAGAAACTTTAAGTTAAACTGTTTGACAACAATTAAGATGGAAGGGTACAAGAACCGAGGTCAATCGATCCAACCGAAATCCTACAAATATTTACCGGATTAGAATATAAAAGCCCGTCCTAGACATAGCAGAAAATATAGAGAACACATCTGCCAGAGTAAGAGTAACCACTTTTCCATATCCAACTGCAATACTGAAGATTCAAGAGAACATGCTCAAGAACAAGCCCACTTACAGAAAATAGGGAAAATCTTTGCAACACTTGATTTCCAGTACTCCGTCTTTAACACTGCAGAGACCAACAGCACTAATTTCCTTTCCCAACGGAAGAATCTTCTCTTCATCTAGCAAACCAACCTTAGAAACCAGAAACAAAAAATGACATTACAAGATTTGTAATAAAATGTGAAGCTAAAGAACACTAAAACTCAGATACTAACAAGAACAATGAGGGCCAAATGCAGAACTTACTGGGTACCGATGGCCAAAAAGTGCCTCCAGGAATGTGTACGGAGAAGGATTAACAGGATGCAGATGATGATAAACTGTGGTAAGAGGTAGGGGATGCCTCGATCCATCCATATCCACAGCAACAAACTCCGAAATCGGTCTTCGGCCACCTTCAGCAAGAATGAACGGAACCGTTCTGAAAACCTTCGATTCGCGCTCCCTCCAAGACCGAGAGAATATAGCTCTCAAATCCGACGGCCATCCCACGAAACCTTTCCACTCATTATAAACGCACTACAATAATTCAATTTACAATTCAGTTTTCATCGAAATACACCACAATAAATAACAAAGATTCAATTTTCTCAGCAACGAAAGAAAAGAAAACGCACCGTTTGAGTTCTCTGAAGAACCACGGCTCTTTCCTTTGTACCCTGGGAGACGAGCACGCCGGAGTTGAGGATATTCCAGTTGCCGTCGACGGCGGATTTGGCTTCAACGGTGCCGCGTACAACGACGAGCTTTGCATCGGACGGCTGCGATTCGTCGGAGTGATCGAGAGAGAGGATTGAGCGGAGATCGGAGACTTGGACAGAGGGAGCGTTATGGAGTTTCCGAAGGGCCGAGGAGACCGAGTTGAGCTTGAGGACGGTGCGCACGGCGGCGTACGCTAGGGCTACGCCCAAAATGGCGCCGTCGAAGGAGAGGGCGAGTTGGGAAACCAGGGAGATTAGGGCTTGCTCGTGCGATGACATTGCTGTGTTTGTCGTCTGGTTTCTACATTCGGTAGGGGGGGAAAGTGAAGAGAGAGAACGTGGTGATATGGCGGTGCCTGGCGGGTGGCGGGCTGGAGAGAGAGAGAGAAGGGTCGGGAAATGGTTTTTTTAGTAGATTTAATCAAAGACCATGGGTGATTTAGTAATTGATGGACTTCAACTGTTGAGTTTATACGAGAGCGGTTTCATTTGGGCCTTGTCCTTGTGGCATGATACTGCTCCATAAACATTGTTCAAGATTCAATCCAACCCAATTCAATTTATTTTAATAAAAGCTAGCTCTTTGGCACATCCAACCCAATTCAATTTATTTTAATAAAAGCTAGCTCTTTGGCACATGTTCACACATGTGCCAATTGGTTTTCTTCTATCTTTTTTATTTTATTTTTAGAATTAAGAAAAGATAAATGAGTAGTTATATTCCATAAAAGTAGAACTTATTATTTTATTTTATTTTATTTTTTATTTTTTTAATATAAAAAATGTGAATTTACCATATTATCCTTATTTAATTAATAATTTTAATTCTTAATGTTTGAATTAATCAAGGGTTTTTTTTCTCAGCCCTTTGCTTTATATATATATATATATATAGATGAACAATTTTTTTTATCAAATAAAAATTTCATTAGATAAACTTCAACAGTACAATCAAAGACTCAACAAAACATCTAAAATACCAATCACAATAGGGCAACAAATTAATATGCTAAAAGCAAAACTAACGCTGACAAAAGCCGCACTAAGTGCCAGTTTGGCATTGCTTATTTGAGGTAATAAGTGATTTTTTAAAAATTTTGAAAAGCCCAACCCGTTTGGTAAACTGTGAGAAAATCACTTATTGTTAAAAATTACTGGTCGAGAAAGCTATAAGGGAAAGCAACTAATGAGGTGCTTTCATTTTCTGATTATGCATGAATCAGTTTCGAAGAGGCGCTGGGTTTAATGATTATGCGGCAATCATGTTTTGATTATGCGTAAAATCAATACCAACAAGACTTTTAACAAAAAATTTACCAAACGCCGAACTGCTTTCTCTCACAGCTGATTTCTCTTACAGCAAATCTGACAGTGATTATTTTCACAGCACAGCAATGCCAAACTGGCCCTAAAACTACTAGCTCACATCACCACAATTAGATATAAGCCCAAACAAAGTCCACAAACCCAACATAACCAAAACCCTAAATCAACCCATGAGCCTAAATGAACCTTACCACAACCATTTGAAGAAGCTCCGTCACGGCCATACCCACCACCGCATCTGTAACAGATCTAGGGAAAATATGATTTCCAGCGATCTACCTGCGCATAAGAGCAAACAAATAAATGAAAACAACAACTTTGCCAAAAAAAAAAACAATCGGGTGATGTGCAGCAACCTCCGTCAAAGACAATGTAGAATCAAATTAAAATAACATGAGCGGCGTTAGGGAGTAGATTTTGGGAGTAGGATTTGATTGAGAACATAGACTAAAAGAGGTGATAGGGAACTTCAATCTAATCATGGCTTAGAAGAAACCACCACAAGGGACTTTTTATTCAAAACACCTCAATGGACTTATTCACTAACCTAAAAGGAAAAGACGAGAAGAGATGAGGGGGAGGAGGGGCAGTAACGCTTCTTCCTCCTCCCCCCCTCTATGAAATTTTTCTTTATGACTCACAGAGTAAGAGAGTGGCTAGGGTTTGAGAGATGGGCATTTGGTTTAGAACCCGACCATTGACCTAACATAATCCTAATATGTTTTTCCACTACC